CGATTTTGCTAAGATTAAGGAGACAATGTTGGGAAGAGTTTCCAAGTTCTCCATCTGAGGTTCATGGTTTCTTTATGATTGTTTGGTCATTATTTGAAGGATATTTATTTGCCACTTTGCATACCGAGAGTCAATGTTGGTGTGTACCTGGCTGAGCTAGTGTGAGGCTTTGGCATTGCATACGTCAATCAATAGTAGTTCGAACCTTAAGTGGGGGAGAACCAGGTATTCTTCTTGGAAGATTATAGATCTGCTCAATTTTTGTTGGTTTAGTGTAGTAGGACGAGGGAAACTATGATTCAAATGTATGAGGTTTTGGTGTAGGATAACTTTTGCATAAGAGGATGTCATTTAAGTGGCGAGATGGTTAAGAGGGTTCCGCGGCACGGTGGTGACTGGGTTCAAAACCCTAGATTTTGGGTCTTAGGCCCTATATAATGGTGCTAACTTTTAGGTTTGCTTTCATTTTTAGCCTCCTTCATCTAGAGAGAAAACCCTAACCCTAATGTGTCTTCCTGGTGTTTTAAAGCCTTGAATGATATCTTGAAGAAGAAGGTGTTAAGATTGTTGGTTGAAGGGGTCGCTTCTACATAAGATCTTACATCTTCTAAATCACTTGGAGCTTGGGAATAGACCTTTATGACTTATTGGTTATTTATTCATGTTTTGAAGCACTTGTATGGTCTTTTCAGGAGGGTTCTTGGAGTTTGAGCAACTCCAGAACCATTGGTTAAATTCTAAGCGAGTTTTGGATCTTTTTTCATTCTAAAGTTGAGAGTTTGACACTCATTTTCAGCCATACATAAGACTTTTGTGTTTTTAGTCCCTTAGTGATGTTAGGGTTCTAGATCTAGGTTGTTTGAGGATAAGAAATGGATAAAGTTGGAAACTTTATTCATGCATGACATGAATCAATCCAAATCTAAGCTTTGGAGCTATATACTTAACGGTTAAGAGCTTAATGTATTAAGTTTTCTTAGACATTCTCTACAATGCGGTAGAAGGCGTTTCATGACGCGAACCGTGCTTGGCATTCACAACTGTTTTGGCAGGTAATGATCACGACACGATAATGGAGCTGGTTGCGATGCGTGTATTAGTTGACCAATGAATTTTTGACAAATTTGACTTTGGTCAAACTTGAAGCTTTGAGATTGGTTTTTGCGGTTCGTGTAACTGGTTCTTTGGGACTTTGGGTAGTTGGATCCAGCTCTAGGATACAAGTGAGTCTTCTCACTATACTATGCAAGACACTAGGTGTCATGAAATGTTTGTTATCATTGTGACTCTTACATGTATGCTTATATGCTTGTTGGATTGGGCCCACTTGGTTGAAACAAACCATTAGGTTGGGCTCATTTGTTTGTGTTGTATGTGGTATCTTAGGGAACTTACTAAGCTTTATGCTTACGGTTTTAAGTTTAAATGTGGCAGGTTGCTCTAATAGCAAATAGGACGGCAAAACATGATTGCATGACATCCTTTGATATGTTTTAGGACTTCTGTACTTTTTATTTTCTACCTTGATCCTCTGACTGTTATTTTGAAACAAATGGTTTTATTTTATATATGGAAATGGAATTAGAACAAATGCTTTTATTATGAATGAAAAATTTTCTTCGTTCAAGTAGGTATTAGAGCCTTAGTTTGAGGGATTCGAACTAGCACTAGGTGCGTCCAAACTAAAGTTGAGGACTAAGGAATTATTTTT